TTACTTCCCTTCCGAAGGGAGACGTGACCAGAGATTTTTATGCCTCAGAAAAAACCCACCTCGGCTGGGATTGAACTGGGGGTGAGAAAGCAGTCACACTTACCACTACACGATGATTGCTTCTGCCATGATGGTTATGAGTTCTTCTGTTGTGAGCAGCTCTTCGTTTTCGTTTGATGGTGGGGCGTCATCTCGACGCCACAACAGCCCCGGGAGAGGGGACGAAACCGTAGCCGCATAGGACTGACGGCTTGGATTAGCCGAAGGGTTTGGCACCTCAGCAGCCAAATGGATGTTGAGCGGAAGTGGCGGAAGAACCGGAATCGGACGCCGTTGGCTAATGGCGGGAAAATTCTGCTCATTATGTGCTGGAACCTTTTTCCGACCCGGCTGGTTCTGCGGTGAGGCCCTTTTGCGGATTTCCATGAATTCCGCACGCTTCGGACAAGACTTGCTGGTAGCTCGATGTGCTGCACCGCAGTTGGCGCATTGTGGATTGGCGTTCTCCATCCTGTAGCATGCTTCAGGTGCGTAATGCTTGCCACACATTCGTTGCACCGATGAGCCATGTGGCAGGTTTTGGTCCCGTGCCCAAACATGAGGCAGTTTGAGCATTGGGTGACGTTACGGGGGCGAGGTTGGTAGCGTTCCCATGTGGAAAGCGCCCGAATACACTGCAGGTCCTTCAAACACGTTGTGTTTCGCTCGAGGTGGACCAAATACAACTGGTCACGGTACTTACGGGAAGCGTCGTGCCGATTTATCTTGAAGACTTGCGACGGCTTTAGGCCGTTCTTCTTCAGCTCATCCGACATTGCGGCGATTTCCATGTCGGGCAGACCACGTAGGACCACCTTGAGCTTGGTAGCTCTTCGATGGCGTTGTAGTACTTCCTTGATGGTACCATCAGCATGATGCCTTCAGTGCACATGCGCATGGTGTTGAAGTACCTTGCTCGATGTAGAATTTGATGTTCTCCCGAAGCCCGGGCGGAAATCCCTTGATAAAGAAGGGGGGAGGGGGGGGGGTAGTTTCTCCTTTTTCTTTAATTCCGATTCATCAATATTTTGGAGAATGGCGTACCGCTTGTTTGACAGCAGCTTTTTCTATGCCGACTGAGCGTTTGCGGTTTGCTGTGTGGGGCGCTTCCCGGACGAGCTTGTGACCGCATCACCACGCGATGGTTTTCCCATGCTAGGGTCAAACGATGTTTCGCTTAACACCGCGAACACTATCGAACGAAAAAGAATACTCTACACAGAGAGAGAGAGAGAGCGGACCAAACCGGACTGGACTGCTTGACGATCAAGCAGAGAATGACGAAGCCGTAAGCAACGATGGTTTGTTTATGTTTGAAACCAAATTCACATATGGAAAATCAATGAGTGTAAACAGGTGAGGCTGCTTAAATGGATGACGGAGTTTGACGTCACACTCCTTTAACCGTTTAACCTGAGTGGTGCGAAGTGAAATTTTCTTCATGTTGGTAGTGTTGAAATAAACGTTTCATCACCGTCGGTTGGTAGAGAGAAGTGTCAAACGGCTTTTTGTGCAGAGCCGATTCGTGACTTTGTGATTGTTTGTTGACATTGTTCATAGCTGGAGTTTTTACGGAGTGCAATAAAATTCAGAATGAAGTGTTTTGCTCACTTTTGCAATTATAAAGATGGACACGACGAAAAGCGAAGCCTATTCAGGTTTCCCAAGGATTCAGCAGTACGAAAAGAGTGGCTCAGTTTCTGTGAGGTGGATCTCAATTTTCAAATCAAACCCAGTGACCGGTTGTGCAGTATTCATTTTGATAAAAATTGTGTAAAACATCTGAATTCAGTTGCTTATCGTGATAAAAATGCAATCCCTACACTGCGAACATATGATGATGGTCCATTTATCAGTGAAACAATTGACGAAAGTTTATGCTGGATCCTCATTTAATCTCATCCCTGTTTTGCTTCTGTCTGCAAAATAAACTTTTCATTTCAGGGAAGTCAAGAACGAATAAAACCCTGAAACATCATCTACCTGACTTGCAATCAAACATAGTAATTTTTATTTGTATAAATTGTTGCAAATCAGATGCAAATTTAATGTGGCCGATGATATCTATGGAAGTGCTGTCGAAATTCCCTGGGACCTCCAATGGCAACGATTTGACTTCCCTCCAAATCGTGTGAAACTCGAACATGCAAACTCTATAGAACCCCCGTAGAACCTCGCTGGCAGCAACTAAAATATCCACTGAAACCTCTTCTGTCGCGGGAAAAATCTGTTGAAATTTCTAGGAACTTTTGTACTATCATCACAAATCTCTTTAGAACGTTCTCCGAAGTCACAGTCGTTCCTGAGCGAAAAAAAATCGGAGGGGTTTTTTTCAGCGCAGGAGTCTACTTTGGTCCAAAATACGCAATAATACTGTTATTTTTAATTGTTTGAGTCGTTTCGAATCACGTTTTTAAAAAGATCAAAAACATTACTGAAAAATATTTATTTTTTATTTTGGACGATAACAATACTTCTATCTATTTCAACGAACCACAATGATAAAAAAGTGGTTCGATTTGACAGCTCGAAAGTGGTTCGATTTTGAGGTCCGTCTTCGCACCACTCAGCGTTTAACGAAAGAGATGAGAAATTCACTGAGTGTTACATATTTCCATCTCATAGATGGATTTTCAGTAGGCCCATTTGGTAGCACATCCCACCCCTGTTGTCAGTAAGTTGTAGATTTCATTTTGACATATTTTCTGCTTTCGGCACGTTGCAAACGTTTAGGTGCAGTAGATGTTTATCACCATTTTACTTTAAAGTGCTTCATATCTCGCAAAAGTTTGTACTATGTCTGCATTGAAGTAAGTCTCTTCTTTGTTATTTTTGCAGTACATGTTATTAATTTTGATTTTTCCAGATATGGGAATATCAGTATCTGAGTGAAGTTCAGTGCTGGAGCAATAACTATAGTCAATTGACATTGTTGAAAGCACGCAGAGTACAGGAAATATAAATTGTACATCAAACATTCAAACATTATCACGTGAAGTGGTGGAGGAAATGTCAGGATGAGGAAACCGTTGTTACAGAAATCTAGACCAACAATTGTAATAAGCGGAACAACGAAACGCCAACAATGGATTTAAACGCAAATTTGTCGAGAATCAAGAGGAAACTTCCTTTATAGAATAGGTTAATTTGCTTGGGCGAATTTTGAAGCTCGAGAAATTTGCGTTTATTTTAATTATTGGTCTAGAAATGATCTTTTTGTTTTTTGGATTCCATTTTTTTTAAAGAACCACCGAAAAGGTCACGCCGGAATGCTTCAATTTTGTTATTCTCTTTCCCACAATAGAAACTTTAAGCTTCAGTTCACTATCACCAACGTGTCCTATTTTTCTGCCTTTCAACCTGTGCAGTGGCAGAATGGTGAACGAATAAGCTGTCTGCAATAAAAGTGACTGACAACCACAATTGAAAGCCGGTATATCCTTCGGCTCTCACCGTCATTGCATTTTCTTTTGACATTTCTGCCGAAGCCCGGTTAGAAATTTCCATCGGACATTAGACTTTAAGCTTGCATTGATTGCCAATGTAAGGACGTCGTTTAAAACATGTCTAATAAGGAAACGATTTTTTAGAACTATCTTCCTTTTTTCTTTTGAAGATTTAACATTTAACGAGCTTGCTTCATTTCAAACAAACTTAATTTCCGTGATTTTAAATGCATTCTCGAATCACCATTCCCACTCGGGATGCCATGGTCTGTAAGGATCCCATCTCCCGAATACAGGCCGGCAAAGATTGCGTTGGCATTTCGTAACTTCTGGTTCACAGCACCTGCAAAACTGCGCAAAATCTAGGTTTGACCCACGAATAAAAAAAAAACCAATTTTAATCAAAAATGATTCAAAGGAAGGCTGAACCTATTTCCATTTGGCTCCTTCGGCCTTCTTCCGTGCGGTCTGACTCGTCGTGATGGAAGTTGAAAGACGATCGGTGGGCGGATTGCAATTTTGATTTCGATTTCCCCACACCGACACAGATGGACGCACGAACGCGAAAGTCTGATATCCGGAACGTCCAAACTTGTTTGCACTACCGCATTCAAGCCTGGTGAGCCGTGTAGTTTAGAACAGCGCACAATGGGGATTTTAGGAAGAGAAAGGATTAAAATTGGCTGCCGCTGAAATCTCAAATATGCTATGCTATGAAATATTTTTTCGATTACACTAGCGAGCCCTACGGCAAGTACAGGTATACCTCGATATAACGTAACTGTCACTTTTGACTTTCATCGTTGATTTCTAGCTAACAATCATTAAATCAAGCAAAGCAATAACACCATAAGAGATATGAGGTAATCCGGTAATCCTTCATCTATTGGTCATGCCAATTTGAATAATTGAATTGTTATTTGTTAGATATTGACGATGGAAGTCAAAAGTGACAGTTACGTTATTTCGAGGTAAACCTGTACGTATTTTTGCACTGATTTCCCCCCAAACTCCCATATATCAAAGATTTTGTTTAAACGGACTAAATCGTCAATTTTAGCTTAAGTTACCAATTATGATTTAGTAGTCAATAGGTTGACAAACTATTGGGAAATTATAGGAGAATATGGAGTCAAATAAGGGTTGTTAACTTCATTTTGAAAAATAATATTTATGATGCAAAACATGTTCAGAAAATTGTTTACACTAGTTTAAAGACTGAAAATAAAGCAGGTGCAAGTTTTCAGCTCATTTTGCTCTGGTATCCCGTTTCTGAAAAAAATAAAATCGCTTGTTTCTAGAATTTTCGGATCTTTCATGGAATTTTGCGGAGTTATCAGCATAGCTATTTGGATTTGAGGCCGGGGAATTAAGTATCATATGAAAATTCACCGTTCTACGGGAAATTAATCCTCCCAGAATAAAAAAAAACTAACAAAGTAAGCGCGCTAAACTGTCGATATTGTCTCCGAACCCACCGCAAACCAGCCTATAGGCTATAGCTAATAGACTCACCGAATGTTCCGCCGAACAGCGTAAAGCCCCACTCCTGCGGGATGATGATCCAGGCCAACGAGGGCAGTAGGACATTCGCGATGCTGTAGTAGATGCCAACCAGTATCATCACCCGGGATCGATGCTCCAGGCTGTGGAACTCGGACAGATAGGCCATCAGCACGGCGAACGGACCACATATGCTGGAACGGAGAGATTAGGATTTGAATGGAATCTCGGTCATGCAAACACTAAAACGGATTGGAAGTCCTTTTGATTTTTTTCACGCTGTCTGTCTTTCTGCACGGCGAATGAGAGCGACCCAAATATGACTTTAGTTAACTCATAAATCACATAAAGTACAGGAACTCAGCGATGAGTAAATTTGCCTCATGTTTTCCAGGTTTGTCTAGGAAGTCTATTGGTACTACTCCTAGACAGAGTAAAATTTTTCGTAAATTCTGACATTTTCTGGCACAGGAAACCATTAGGTAAATTTGGGTAGTTCTCATTCGCCGTGTGTCTGCTGATGCAGGATTTTTCCACAACAAAGGGAAAACGATGGACGACCTGTAGCGAGTGTGAACGCTGACAGATGCCAGCAAATTTATTCAAATAGTATTTTTCCCCCCACCGTGGTTCGTCCTTTCCAATTCCGCTAGTATTGCATAATATAGAATTTGTACGGAATCATTGCTTCAACCAAGCGAATCCATTCAAATTTTCCAAAACAGTGACAGTGAGGCTTGCATTTCGCACTTACACAAATCCGCCCATGAATTTGAAGATCATAATAGCGACCACGTTCTGGCTGATGGCGCAGAGCACACTGAAGGCCCCGTCGAGGAAGAAGCCGTACACCAGCAGCCGCTTCCGTCCGTACATGTCCGAGAGGAAGCCCCAGAGGAAGGCCGATGAGATCATTCCTGGAATGAAGAGGAAATTAGTTACACAATTAGCAATTAGCTATTTTCTTTTAATTCTACTGCTATTGTATGCTATTGTAAGAAAATAAAATTTGTATATGTATTTGTACTAGTCTACTTTTTTTTTTGAAAAATAAATAAATAAAAGTATCTCTTTCACTTTCACTAATCCAATTATATTATATTATATTGGGGGAGAGGTAGCTCATCGATTCTTCCGGTTCGCCTCCTAGCATCGTGCTATAAGGTACCAGGCGATAACCAGGGTAGTTGATCGATAGCTCGATGACGTATGCAATGGGAAATTCTCATAGCAGGCGTTGACGATGGGACGTTGTCGAGTTGTTGAATAGCAACTATCGTGATAACTCACCAATTACCTGTCGATCTGCCAAATTTGGAAAGACGTCTGCATTGAATTGTCTCATATAATAATATTCCGCCCACTATATCACAAGAAATTGCGAGTAGCTGAGTGGAATGGAGATAAGTTAAGCATTGGGTACAGGACCAAGTCTCCCCTGGGTGGTGCCAAAAGATGAGCGCAATAGAATCATCAAGTTGCCATAAGGCACGGAATGAGACTATTGCATGGCTGGGTAGTCAAAGTCTTCCATTCGTTAGTCATTTCAGGTGGATTAGAACAGGTTTAGGTGGGCGTTGGCCAGATTTGGATTTTTCAGATGTAATCCTGGATAGGACCCTGTCATTGAACGTCGCGTGAAAGTGAAACTTAATGAGGGCCTAAGTTCTTTTTCGTAGTTTTTAGTTTTTGGATTTGAAAGATCGTCGGTTACAGTGGCCTGCTTACTGAGCAGAAACACGCTGTCCCAGGTCCTTACATATCAAAGAGATTTATGGTAAAATCGCTTGTGTATCGTGTATTTTGCGAAACTCGTTGTTGTCGTTGGTTCCGGGTTTGAATGGATACACAAATTTGAGCAACGGTATTATGTGATATGAGGGGCTCGGTGGCCTTAGAGCAACCGTTTTTGCTTACTGAGCAGAACATCATGAGTCTAATCTCAGGCCCATCCACATTCAAGATTCGTCAATCGTTTTATTTGTTAATATGACTACATGGTAATAACAGCAACTCGATGATTAAAAAGGTGCTCGTCTGCCTAGTGGCAAACGTTTTTGCTTACTGAGCAGCAGAGTTGTCCAGGGTGTCCACGATGAAATTGCCACACTATGAAATTGCTCTAACTTTTTAACCGTTGGGTAGAATTTAATGAAAATTTGGGTGGATTTAGTTCATATTGCATTATTTACCTTCCTGCAAGTTTTAAAGTCCTGTGATCAAAACTCGCGGAAATGGAGTCGAAAGAACAGCTCGTGCGTGATAAAATCTTGCGCATTCATCACGAGAACAAGGATCTCTCGCATCGTTCCATCGCTAAAACGTTGGGAATCGCGAATTCCACGGTGTCGCGAGTGATTAAGCGGTTCGAGGAACGGTTGACCACCGATCGGAAGCCCAGAAGTGAAGGAAAAAGTATTCCGTACAACACCAAAAATCACAACCGCGTAGTTGGGGCCTTCAACCGAAATCCGAACGCCTCCGTTAGGGATGTGGCTAAGAAGCTGCACCTAAGCCGAAGTTTTGTCCAGAAGGCCAAAACTAAGGCTGGGCTTCGAACGTTCAAGGTACAAAAGGCCCCTAATCGCGACGAGAAGCAGAACAAGTCCGCCAAAACCCGTGCCAGGAAGTTGTACCTCAACATACTGACGAAAGTTGAATGCTGCATCATGGACGACGAAACATATGTTAAGGCCGACTTCAAACAGATCCCCGGCAACCTGTTTTTCACGGCCAAGGATAAGTTCAGCGTTCCGGAGCATGTCCGCACTCAGAAGATGTCCAAATTTGCGAAGAAATTCCTGGTTTGGCAAGCCATCTGCACGTGCGGGAAGCGGCGTGCACCTTTCGTGACCCAGGACACGATGAACGGACAGGTGTACATAAAAGAGTGCCTCCAGAAGCGGCTGCTTCCTCTCCTGAAGGCCCACAACGTCCCAACAATCTTCTGGCCGGATTTGGCCTCATACCACTACTCCAAGGACGTGCTGAAGTGGTATGCGGACAATAAGGTCAATTTCGTGCCGAAAATGTTCAACCCTCCCAACACTCCGGAGCTCCACCCCATCGAGAAGTACTGGGCGATTATGAAGCAGCACCTTTTTAAACGACCTAAGGTAGTGAAGACAGTCGAGGAACTGAAGAAAGTATGGGTTTACATGCAAAAAACGGTTGATTCACAGGTTGTGCAGAATCTTATGGCCGGGGTTAAGGCCAAGGTGCGGGCATTTGCGTATGGACTGTAAATAAAATACGAGTAAAATGGTAAAATGAAGTTTAATAGTTATTTCTCGATCCCTGAAAATTTGATGGCAATCGGATGAAAACTCGAATTTTGCGAATCAATTTTGTGTGTGGCAATTTCATCGTGGACACCCTTTACTGAGCAGAAGACCGTGGGTTTAGTCCCAAGCTCCTTCGCATTATATGATCGTTAGGACATCAATTCAGCTTATCGTTTACCAAAACGAACCCTGCTGCAAACCCAACCCTCTTATCCAACATCCCAGTGATTCCTCGTGGAAGTGCAGAGGTGTTCTCGGCTTCCATCAAAGCGAGTGTCATGTCAACACAATCCTTCCCATTCCTTTCTTGACCTGTGTTCGGGCGCGGCCGGCGCTGGTATTGCCTAATTTAAGATCACCAGTTTTTACACATTGAGGATGATTGCTAGTCCCAAGCATCGTCTATTGGTTCTCTGTGTAATTACAGCTGATCTGGCAGTAACAGAGTAGCAACCGTGGGCGGTCAATCAAGCTCAAGCTCAAGCTCAAGCTCAAGCTCAAGCTCCAATTATATTATATTATATTATATTATTTATATTATTTCTATATAAGCTGTATCTCAAAATCCTGGCCATATAGAAGGTTACTGTCTTCAGCAAAGTTGTTCAGGTGACCAAGTCCTTTTGGATGGTGGGCATAATGGTTTAGAACTCTCTCACTACGCACCGCTAGTGTGCATGTGAACTTCCTATATAAACTGTATCTCGAGAATGTGGCCATATAGAACGTTACTGTCTTCAGCATAGTTGTTCAGGTGACCAAGTCCTTTCGGATGGTGGTCATATTATTTAAGAACTTTCTCATACGACCATCATCGATTCAAGAAAAAACTGTCAAATACCCTACAATATGGGCATTGCACAGCAACATCTTATATGGACAAGCTTTCCAGAAATAGCATATTAAAAAAGTGCATGTGCACACTAGCGCCGCGTAGTGAGAGAGTTCTTAAATATTATGACCACCATCCGAAAGGACTTGGTCACCTGAACAACTTTGCTCAAGACAGCAACGTCCTATATGGCCAGGTTCTCGAGATACAGTTTATATAGGAAGTTCACATGCACACTAGCGCTGCGTAGTGAGAGAGTTCTAAACTATTATGCCCACCATCCAAAAGGACTTGATCGCCTGAACAACTTTGCTGAAGACAGCCCAAGTAACATTTTAAGTTTTATGTAATACTACAAAGCAACTATAAAACAACATTCATTAAACCCTGGTCAAGGCAATTTTGTCATTAATGCATCCACCAAAACCTTATTAAGACTAGAATATGTCTAGTTGGCCCACCCTGGAGAAGGCTCTGAAGGGTGTATTCTCGAAGCTCTTCAAGATTGATTTACTGCAAAAGGTTGTATGACGAACGCATTGAGAACCATTTGAAATCTACAATAAAAGCTATTTAGCAACAATAAAAAACCTTTCCGAGCCATTTCCCCTAGCCGCATGCTGAATCCACTAGGAAAGCATCAATCAAGATAGAAAAGGATTTATGAATCCGATCTTATCAAAATAATTAAAATTGAAACTGATGGTATAAAAATCTTGTTGAATATCCAAATTTATTACAATAGTTCTCATTAAGTGGTCTAGTTTTAAGTGCCATATTAAATTTTATGTGAAATGTACGTGAAAACATCGAAAAAATTAAGTCCACTCTCGTAAAACGTCGATTTGACTAATTATTTAACATTGAAAAACAAAATATATTCTTCAGATCGAGCTTGGTTGAGACTTTTTTTTTTTATTATTTTCGCATTTAAATGTTTGCTCATTGCTAAATTTACCGAAATATAGTTATATCTAAGAAAACGTTGTTTGAAAATCGAAGATTGTAAAAAACAAGCAAACTAATTGTAACATGGCGGTGGCATAAAAATTGATTTTCATGGGTCATTTGTGATATGTTGTTTTGCTTTCAAGAATTCCTTAACAAATTAATAAGGTTTTAAAATAGCTTTTATGAAGAAAACTTGCAGGCTGAATTGTATTTATCTAAAGCCATTTTGTTTGATCCTAACCCGTTCAGATTTATATCAGCATTTATGGAGGCAAAGTTGCCTGCAAAAAGTTAAACGTCAAAGTTTGTTTATCTTTCGATAGTTGCGCTGAGAGATCCAGGATTCTTCCAGGCGGTTTTCTCCCGATGGCTTGGGAGCAGTTACTCAGATAGTTTGCGATACTGTTTTACAACATTTCGCATTTCGAACAGCTGGAAGCGCAATCGTTCCCGAAAAAGATCCCCTTCTTCCGGAGGGTTACACGGCGAATGAGAACGACACAAATTTGAGTTTAGTTCACTCATAATCGTCAAAAGTGCAGGAACTCAGCGATGAGTAAATTTGCCTCGTGTTTTCCCAGGTTTTTCCAGGATTTTCCAGGGAAAAAATCCCGAATTTGAGAAAAGTAAAGATTGGATTCACTCAGTCTATTGGTACTACTCCGAGACTGAATAAAATTTTCGTCAATTTCCACATTTTCCGGCAGATTTTTTAGGTTTTCCACAGGAAACCATGAGACAAATTTTACTCATCGCTGAGTTCCTGCACTTTTGGCGATTATGAGTGAACTAAACTCAAATTTGTGTTGTTCTCATTCGCCGTGTACAGAAGTGCACCATCCAATGATGC